TGAGCCTTTCCACCTGGCCCTTACGTATTTTAAAGGCAGTTCTTGGACTTAGGCAGACTTGTTCCATATTATGCCAGTACCATTTGATTTTTTTCATAAATGTACCAATTTGGTTGTTTTCTATAATTTAGGAACTATTTCTAATTTCTTTTCTTTTTTTTTGAGACAGAGTCAGTCTCATTTTTTGTACAGTCAGTCTCACCTTTGGTAGAATGCTATGGTGTCATAGCTCACAGCAACCTCAAACCCTTGGTTTTTCAAGTGATCCTTTTGCCTCAGCCTCCCAAGCAGCTGGGACTACAAGCGCCCGCCACAATGCTGGGCTATTTTTTAGAGATGGAGTCTTGCACTTGCTTAGGCTGGTCTTGAACTCCTGAGCTCAGGCAGTCCACCTGCCTTGGCGTCCCAAAGTACTGGAATTTCAGGTGTGAGCCACCACATCTGGCTTTTAATTTATTTTCTGAGATGACTCTGACTCTTGGTGTTATTTGCTAATTTGAGGGATTTGCTTTTATTTCCATTTTTCTGGTTCATTGATAAAGATTATTAGATAAATTTTGATCCTGGATAGGATTTATCCTTTTAGGGTACTTAAAGCATTTTTCAGGATTGGCTTTGCCACTTTGCTTTCCTTCAGTATGTACTTACCCACGTTTTTGTAGTTTATTACTGAGAATGACAGGGGTCTCTTCTGAAGCACAGTTGTGTACCTATGGCTTACCCTCCTCCTCTAGGCCTGTCCAGCGCAGAGATCACGTCTAAGAATTTTGTATCTGTTTCCTCTGTCTCTTTGGACCTACTGAGATTAGAGGCTCCTAATTGTGGAATTGACTTTAGTGCTTTCCTTGCTGGCAGAGTTAAGTTTATTCATGTCTAATCATTAGTCAGTTAGTCCTCCTGTCCTTGTTTTTTTTTTTTTTCTTACAAAGATTACAAATATTTCCCCTTCTCTGAGTTTTTCAGGAACTTCTTTGGCCTCAGTATGTTCTAAGCCCCGTTGATCTGGCTACAGCAATAAAGTTATTTAGTTATATATAGAATTATGTTATCTTTCAGGAGAAAAGGAGAATAAAACCTTTTTATTCAGTATTCAGTTAAGTATAAAATGGTTAATTTTTAGGGGGGATCTGCCTTAATCTCAGTTTTACAAATTATTTTTATTTAAATGGCATTTCTAGCCTTTCATAGGCAGTGTAATGAAACTGCTGCATGTGTATCTATCAGATTAGCGTGCAGTTTAGTGGAGATAAGGCACTTGCCTACTGTTGAATGAATGAATGCACTTTTACCTCGTGTTAATCTGAAATTTGCTGTACTCCTCCCCTTTTCTTAGTATTAAGATTAGTGGCTCTCCCTTAGTGCAAATAATTTATGGGATGTAGCACTCTGTAATTGTTGCAGTTACTATTTGTTGGATAACATTTACATTTTCAAAAAGGAAGTATGTATTTGTTTGCTAGACTATGGATAGTGGAAGTAGATATTTCTTTGTTATTTTTATGTATCTAGGGTAGGTAGTAGATATACAACTAATTTATATAAAAATATTGAGGTCATATTGACGTTAGAATTTACCTGTTTTATTTCTCCATTTCCCTAATTACAATTTGTAAAATAATTTCATATGAAAGTAATATCTAGTTCTAATAAAAAATAGAAAATACCAAAACATATGAATAAAAAAGCCATCTTTAATCTGACTACCTAGTGATAATCACTGAACTCTCTTGTTATCTGTGGGTTTAACTCGGTTAGCCATACTGATGGTTTTCAGTATTTTATATCTTACGTACCACCATTACTTCCTCAAAGAACCAAAATGTTAGTGCAGTAGAAATAGCCCACTTTTTAATAAGGTACTTATATTTTTACAAACATTATGTTAGTACCATAAGAATTATTTATAAAAACTTCAGCTCTAATGCAGCTAACTTCTGAGCACTCCTGGTGACCGATGATCCACCAATTGAGTGTTTGGATGGAACAGTCAGAATTCACAAGCAGGTGTGCAAGTCTGCATGTGGGCCTTACATCTTGTTAAACCAGTTTGAATGACTTCCTGCATGCACTACTATCTTTGCAGATCGCTCTATCAACTTGAACAGAGTTCCAAATTGTAATTTTGTGTAGTTCATTATGTGGCAGGATTAAATCCAGGAATATTTTTCTACTTGATGTACTTTTAGTGGACTTTTTTTCCCCCAATTGCCAAGCACATGTCAGTCTTCTATGACATTATCTTTACATTGGGGCAGTTGATGACATCATGTCAGTTCTGCCTGCAAAATAATCCTTTACTGTGACTTTACCTCTTTGACCCCGAAAGTACTGTGGATTTTTTTTTTTTTTTTTGAGACAGAGTCTCCCTATGTTGCCCTGGGTAGAAGTGCTGTGGCGTCATGCCCACAGCAACGTCCAACCATTGGACTTACGAGATTCTCTTGCCTCAGCCTCCCGAGTAGCTGGGACTCTAGGCGCCCACCACAATGCCCGGCTATTTTCTTGTTATTGTTGTCATTGTTGTTTAGCAGGCTGGGCCTGGCCAGGTTTGAACCCACCAGCCCTAGTGCATGTGGCTGGTGCCCTAACCACTGAGATAGGTCTGAGCCCGTACTGTGGTACTTTATGTTTTAGTTTCTTTTCTCTGTGTTATAGAAGTTGTCTGACTGCTGATATTCTTTCACTTTCCTCTTATTATAATGCTGTAATATTTTCTTCCCTTTTATGGGTTTTCTTGTTTCCCTTTCTCTCTTCATTGTAGTTTTCAACAAATTATTTTAGAAAATTTGAAAACTGCACACATGCAGAAAATGAGCTTTATTATATAGAAATAACTACTGTGAGCATTGTGGTGTCTAACAGTTTTTCTTTGTGTGTGAATAGGGACACTTTTAATATTGGATCAATCCGGGCTTTCTTCAACGTGTTTCTCCCTTCCCTTCCTCTCCCCTCCCTTTCCCTTTTCTGTTCCCTTCCTTTCCTTCTCTCCTTCCCTTCCCTTTCCTTCCCTCTCACTTTGTTGCCCAGGCTGGAGGGCAGGAGAAGGAGTGGCGTTCATACATCACTGCAACCTCCGGCTCCTGGGCTCAGGCAGTCTTCCTGCTTCAGCGTTCTGAGTAGCTGGGACTATAGGTGTGCACCACCACGCCTGTGTAATTTTTATATTTTTTTGTAGAATAGTATCTCACTGTGTTGCTCAGGCTGGTCTCAAACTCCTGGGCTCAAGCAGTCCTCCTGCCTCGGCCTCTCAAAGTCCTGAAATTACAGGTGTATGCCACTGTACCTGGCCTTTTAACCTTAAAAAAAATCCCTTTATAATCTGTAACATTTTCCCATGTCTTTCTCCTTTTTTTATTTTTTGCTTTATGACATAGATGGATCAAGAGTTATGCCTGCTTGCTGAACATTTAGGTCCTAAGGTTCTTTCCTTCCTTCCTCCCTCGTGTTATCCTTCCTTCCCTCACAATATTGCAGTATCCTTTTAGCTATATTGCTTGGACAAATCAGAGATTATTCCTTAGTATAGTAGAGTAATGGTTCCAAAATATTATCCATCTGTGTTACCTGTATTTTATCTCTCCAGTCTGAACTTTTCATCCTGAAAGCTTTTGTTAGTCTGACCCATATCTGCCTTTCTGACTTCATCTCTCTCCTTTTCTCCCACCCTCCAGCTACACTGCACCACCTGGCTTTCTTAATGAGCTTTACTACCCAGGTCTGTTTGCTTTTCTTATCCACCCAGTGAGCACTTCCTCAGTCTTCCAGCCCAAACCTCTGTGTGTTCTTGACCCACCTAGGCAGTTAGGTGGTTCCTCCTTTGCATCTTGTGTACTCACCTGTTGGAATGCTAATAGAGTATTTCTAAAATTTCCATAATTTAGGCTCTTCCAGTAGGCTGCCAGTGCTTCAATAGCAGGGACATTGTTCTAGTAATCTTTCTTTTTCTAGCACCTAACACATGGTAGGTACTTAATAAATGTTTGCACAAATTATAAGCCTGGGGAAAAGCAGATCTCTAAAATGGCATAATCAAATTCAATATACCTTTTATTTTTTATTTTTTTTGCAGTTTTTGGCCAGGGTCGGGTTTGAACCCACCACCTCCTGTATATGGGGCTGGCACCCTACTCCTTTGAGCCACAGATGCCGCCCCTAAATAGACCTTTTAATTCCCTCTAAGATACCATGAAGAAAAAGTTATTTGATTGAAATATATTAATAGAGAGTATAGATACTATAGTATTCTTTAAAAATAAATATCCTGAGTGATTAAGAAAATATGTAATAGTAATCTGTGCTGCATGTAGTATGAGACTATAGTTTTATTAACCTTTATAGAACTTACGTAAAATAAAAAAGTTTGGCTTTAGTTTTTATACATGTATGAACACAAATATTTAAGTATCATAAAATTTGAGTCATGTAATAGCATCATTATGACTTTAGTTTTTATGACAACATCTGAATAGGTATAGAAAGGTTGGACTAATTGTGAAGAATATGAGAACCATAAACAGTAGTCTTTGGGAAGTGGAATGTTTGGAGTCATGAAAGACTAACACCATGTTACCAGACAAAGTGTCAGTTGATACAGTATTAAGGAATCCAAGATAATTGATGTGTCCTTGTAATCTCTTTATGTTCTCCTTTTGAAATTTTTTGCTTTATCATTCAAATTGCTGGCTATTTTCTTTGGCTATAAAGTTCTTCAGTCCGAAAGGTTCCAAATTCTTTCTCATTTTTCATTTAAATGTTAGTTACTTTAATTATTTTGTAATTTCGTTTACATTGGACTAACCAAAAATATGCTACAACTACTAACTCAAGTCTAAATACAGGTGTAGCAACTATTTTGTGCCAGTGATGTCTTAAATTCTTTCTGTCTACTTTGTTTGCCATTGTATTCTTAGCACTTAGCAGCCTCTTAGTGAGTGGTCCTGCATTATGATAGTTTATACTAATTGATGTGCTAATGTTATATTTTTCCTCTTTTTTTAAAGGTAATGTGGCTTTAGATAATCTACAGATAAAAGAAAATGCCTTGGTAAGTTTTTTTAAACTACACTAATAACTCAGTTAATTTAAGTTTGCTCACTAGGCATCTGGTACCTTGTACCAGATAAGGTGATTGAGTCATTCAAAGTTGGATTACTTTTTTAACTACAGTATTTGCTGTTAGAAAATCTGAGATTAAAGATTTGGAACTTTTTTCCTTCTCATTATTAAAATAGTTTCTCTTGGAAAATGGGGTGTTTTTTCTTAATTTGTATAGCTTTGTAGTTGACATTTTTCTTATAGAAATATTTTTCTTCAAAATTACCTTTACATATTTTTCAAGTAGATAGGGCTTGATTTTTTAGCAGTTTGTGTAATGAAAAATGATATTTTTGGAAGTATATTGACAATCTAGCCTTATAGTAGTATAGTAATATTAAGAGGTAAAATAGAATCATTTTGTACTGTAGTGCCAGAAAGTAATCTGTGTCATTTACTGTTGGACTAAAAACAGAATGACATTCTCCCCCTCATCCCTGTTATATTTAGCTTATCAGGCTAAATTTGAGTTTATGAAGTCACTTAAGAATGGGTTTATTGTTTAATTAATTTTTCAGGTTTCTAATTTCTGGTTTCTTCGTATCCTTGAGCATCAGTTAATCATCTTAAAGTGAAGTTAATTATAAAGCAGTGTAATATTTTTGGGTCTTTGTGGCTTGAATAAGGTAATAAGTGGACCCTGGCTCATAGTAGGTACTCAAAATATTTAACATTTTCTTTCCTTCTCTTTATATGTAGTATAGGATTCTATAATTTCGAACATTTTATACAGAAATTTAGAACTTAGGATTCTGTTGCTAGAGATTGAAATAAACACTTTTTTCTCTATGACAATATTTTATAAGAAAATAAATATAAATAGAATTGTGACAGGGTATTTATCTTATGTACTTAGGAGACAAATCGTTTGAACTTTGTGTTAGCCTAATTTGAATTTTGGTTGGAATTAAACATAATGAAATTTTTTGTAATTTATATTTTCTTTTAATTCAAACTAGCCTCCTTTCCCAATTGGTGAGCTTTTATTTTGATATGGAATTCCTTACATTTATTTTATATGAAAAGTATTTCAGAAGGGGGTTTTGGTAAATGAACTTGAGGCTATATTTTTAGAAGTGTGTGGTTTACAGTTTATATAGTCTATAATGTGAATTCCCTTGAGTTTATCTTTTCTGTACCTTAAGGGGGCTGAGCTTCTTTCTTATTGGCGTTAATGATTTTTTGTTTTTCTTGGTCTAAAAAAGACATCTTGTGAAGAGCTAGTATTTTGGTCAATTCCTATTAGAATGTATGAGTACTCAGATTATCAGGTAAATTAATTACTTTAGTTATTTATTACCTAAAGTACTATATTTCATTGGTCAGATTTTTATGGTATTAGTATATAGTAAGATACACATATAAAAAGGAAGTACTGAGTGGTTTAGTTTTAATAATTTTAAAGAGTCAGGTAATCATTATGAATATCACTTATTGTTTAGTATACTGGATAAAAAAGTTATGTGAACTTTCTAATGGTTTGGAATCTAGATGGGTGAAAGTTTATTATTATTTGTTGATACTTGTCTGTAACTTACCTAAAGGAGATGCTAACTAGTAAATAATATGTTAGAAATCTACATTTTAAAATTTACTAAATATTTGAGAGAGAATTTTTATTCAGTTATTGTGTTCAACTAATTTATGCTAAAGGATTCTGTTGTCCTCCTTCTGCTATTTCAAATAAGCAGTATCCATCTGTTTAAGTTCATTTGACTTGCCTTTTTATTCAGTTTGATTTATTGAAATAACCAGTTTACTCACTTACTTTAACTACAGACTTTTTCCTATCTATAACTTTGCTTCTCTTGTGAATTCTTTCTTTAGAGTCAAAGTTTAAGTTAATAAATCCCTCTTCAGTCCTGAGTAACATAGCCAGACCCTATCTCCACAAAAAATAGAAAAATTAGCTGGGTATGATGGCACTTGCCTATAGTCCTACCTACCCAGAAGGCTGAGGTGGAGGATCATTTAAGCCCAGGAGTTTGAGGTTGCCGTGAGCTATGATGATGCTACTTACCTTTAGTGCAAGCAAAATAGCAAGACCCTGTCTCCAAAAAAACCAAATAATTAAACTCTTATTTTTTTTAGCCATAACATGTGTCTTTGATGAGTTACTGTATTTAAATTTAGATTTTGTTATTTCTTAGGGATGAATGTTTTTACATGATGATATAAAAGTGATTTTGGGGGGTTTTAGTTTAAGATGGTCTTTAATTTTTTTCTTCTTTCTGCAGAGCGAATTGGATGTTCCATTTAAAGTCAAGGCTGGCCAAATTGGTAAGTCCTTCAGTATTCATTTGAATTATTATTAGTCTTTATAGTTTTTTATTTTGCTTGTGTTTGTCTAAAAAACTCTTTTATAGCTTGACCAAAAGTGTGAGAGAGTTTTGAATCACATTAATTAGGGCTTATCGGGTTCTGAGCCTAATGTATATTACATATAATACATAATTACCCTCTACAATGGAAGGACACTTGACTTCCAATTATGTTCTTCAGGCTTTGGTTCCACCACAAAAAATATATCTCCATTTTCAAAACTGATATCTAAATTTTGTGCTTTTTCTCTATATGTGAAAGTAGTATAATTTGCAAACTCTAGTAAATAAACTTTAACTGTAGCTTATCTCCCTCATGTTGTGTTCAACTGTCTTTCACTTGATACGTTATGCAGCATTGTGGTAGAGGATACGTTTTGGTAAGTACAAAGTCTTTTTTTGCAGCTGAACTCTTACACTGAGACCATCCACAAGTGAGCATGTATCTTTGTTGAAGAAAATTTTCAATAGGAAATTTAATTTACAAAGTCTTCTCGACTAGTCCATGTTACCTCATTTTTACTTTTTAGAAAAATGCATTAATTAAAACCCTGGATGGCTTCCTTTTATTTTAGAATTTTTGTCTATGCCTCACCTTTCCTCCACCTCTATCATTCTGCCATTGGTGCACTTCAGTTTTCATCTTCAGTCAGTATTCTGTGTTCTAGGAAGGATTGTCTGCTTGTACTCTGGTGACTCTTAGCAGTATCTTCTTCTTCTTCTTTTTTTTTTTTTTTTCGAGACAAGAGCTTCAAGGTGTCCCCCTGGGTAGAGTGCTGTGGCATCACAGCTCACAGCAACCTCCAACTCCTGGGCTCACACGAGTCTCCTGCCTCAGCCTCCTAAGTAGCTGGGACCACAGGTGCCCGCCACAACACCTGGCTATTTTTTGGTTGCAGCTGTCATTGTTGTTTGGAGGGCCCGGGCTGGATTCATACCTGCCACCTTGAGTGTACGTGGCTGGTGCCTTAGCCACTTGAGCCACAGACGCTGAGTCTTATTCTTCTTTTTTTGAGCCAGAGTCTCACTATTTCATCCTTGGAAGAGTGCCCTGGTTTTACAGCTCACAGCAACCTAAAACTCTTGGGCTTAAATAATTCCCTTGCCTCAGCCACCCAAGTAGCTGGGATTACAGGTGCCCCCCAACAATGCTTGGCTATTGTTTTTTTGTTGTTGTTGTCGTTGTTTAGCAGGCGTGGGCTAGCCTTGAACCCACTAGCCCCAGTGCATGTGGCTGGCACCATAACCACTGAGCTATAGGTGCCAAGCCCTCTTAGCATTATCTTGACTACTTGTTGTTTGTTTGGGTTCATTTTGTATCACACATATGAGTTCTTTTCTTATAAAAGAACGTTTTGTATTTTTATCTTTTGAAATAGGAGATAGTCCTTTAGATTAAAAACATCTCTAGGGCAGTGGATCTCGACCTTTCTAATGCCTCAGCCCTTTAATATAGTTACTGTGGGTCGCGACCCACAGGTTGAGAACCGCTACTCTAGGGCATCATTTTTGTTTGTCTATGAAATAATGCTGAGTGTGGTGGTGGTGTCTAGGAGTGCTGTAGAAGTATTGTTGTAATCCTACATGCTTAATTGAAACCATGGAGTTTAGAAGTTGCAGCTATTCATTTATTTGTTTACCTTTGAAATATTTATGTATATATGCTACATATAAGACTACGCAAGTAGCTGTGGGACAGGCTAAATTTACAAAACAGAAAGAATGAGAGACAGAAGTTAAAGGTGATTAGGACCCAAACCTACCAGAGTAGCTGTGTGGTGTTGGCCCCGACCTGCCTGACTCCATCTTATTTTCACCACATGCACTCTAACCTTCATTCTCAGCTATGCAGGAGACTGGGGTGGGATGATTAGTTGAGCCCAAGAGTTTAGGCCCAATCTGGGCAACATTGAGAGACCTCCATCTCTAGAAACAAAACAGAATAGCTAAATAATATTATACGTAACCTATAGAATTAGTGTGGCAAAAGCTAAAGCATCATTTGGTTTATTAAGAGCTAGATATTTTTGTGGGTGCCCCTGGGTTATTTGTTTACATAAAAATTAAAAAAAATCCTAATCTATGAAAAGAAGCAGTAATGTAATTAACTGAATTCCAGGACCTTTTTGAAAGATAGAGGGGATGGATAATGAGTTAGGATAAATGGAGAGAAGAAAAATGTTTGGGAAATTGGTAATACTTTTAGGTATGCTAGTTAGAGGCATTTCCCATCTTTTCAGTCTTATGTGCACCAAGAAGGCAATCAAATACATTTTGTTACGAGACTATGAGTTATCAATGTAATGATACTCATTTAAATACAAGTGGTACTCACTAATAAAATCACCAGACTTAGAAATGACTCACAAGTATACTGGTATTTCCTCTAGACTTCTCTGACATGGGCGTCATTTTAGAAAGTCAGTAGGTTTATAAGCTGAAGA